GCTCCGAGGGGCAGCTATGGCCAGCCTTGTCTCACAAGGGATCCTGGTTTGGTGTCGTGATTGTTTTTTTTTTTTTTTTTTTTGGGGGGCCTGATGTGGAGGCGCAGCTCGGTTCTGCAGGGTCAAACGGGTGCAGGCCTGTAAAACAACCAGAGCAAACAAAAAAAACATATTTTTTTAAATAGATGTTTGTGCAGGATTTGATCTAAGCAGACTGATTCAGAACCAGATCAACACAATCTGGATTTTTTTTTTCATATCATCATCATTTTACTTATATAAATGTCYCTGCATATAGTAACATTAATATAAATGATAACACAACAAAGCATGAAGCTTATTTCCATTGTGGTTCATAAACAGACGGTTTGGAAGCTAAGATCCGGATCCTGTTCTGGTTTTTCTGCAGCGACGTCTCGATTTTAACCCAAAATCCTTTCATAAACCCTGAGCTCCTGACTGTACTCCTGATTGTTTCATAGTAAAGTTACGTAAGCGTGTTTGTAAAAGCAGACTGAGTGAATAATCTGTTCCAGAGCAGAGTAAACACTGAGCAGCAGCAGGATGCAGGAGGCAACACCTGCACTCTGTTTGGCCGAGGTGGAGCTGGGACTGGAGGAGGGAAAGAGAGAGAGAGGAGGACTCTGCAGRAGTCAGGATGAAGGAAGAGGAGGAGTGGGGGGGATGGGCAACAGGCCCAGTTTCACCCTCCTCCCTCCACTTTCTGCTGCCTGGATGTGAGCATCGATTGGAGGAGCAGAGGCTGAATGAGAGATTTCTGCTTAATAATTTAAAAAAAGGGTTKGAAACGCTGCCGTTGCTCACTAAATCACAAAATAACCCACTAATACTAAAATCAGCTGAGTCATGTTTCGTTGGCGACAATTACGAGATGTTTGTTTACATTCGAACATCCCTTTAGTCTGGAGGATAGTTAGTAAAATAATCCCATAGGCGGTATACCGTTTTGTACCGAAAACCGGTTTTTATTTTTGTTATGATATGACTTTTCTGAATACCTGTGTAAATAGCCTGAACGTGRGGAACGTTTCGTCGCGGCCGCCAGTGAACTGTTTCCCTGYGGACACGTTTCCGCASAGCACCGCTAAGCGCATTAGCATGCTAACATTGTTGGAACAACTGGCGGCGGGTGGTGTGTTTCAGCCACTTATATGGTCTGACGTAAAAAATAAATCCCGTTTTCACCATTGCTGAATAGTCAGTGATGTGCACGGTTAGATTTAACGCGCTACGTTATAACGGAGATGTTACTGCTTGGAAACTCTAGCGTGCTTCAATTGTGAAAAGCCCGGGGAGAAGTAGATTTGTAATGTAGCGGAGTTGACTGGTGTGCAAAGTTAGTCGTCCTTTTAAGTTTTATTAACACGCAACGATAGACCAGATAATGTTTTTTTTCTCAARCCTTCACGATCGGACCTAAATGCATGATCGCTGCCTACAACCAGGCAAAGAAGAAAAGACGTATAAAAGTGGGGAAACAGTGATGCAGTAAAAGAAAAAAGTCAATAAGCAAAGTTTGTACATTTTATTATCAGCTGAGCTGTGAGGAAAAAAAATACCGTCAAATACCGTGAAACCGGTGTAATTGTTGAAAATACCGTGATATAAAATTTGGGTCATACTGCCCAGCTCTATAATCCCAAGGCGTAAACAGAGGTGGAAAGATCAAAAGTTTAGCTAAGTTCTGTAGCTTCAAACACTGAATGACATGAACGTTTACCATTGTTTTAACATGAACATACATAATTTATCATATTAGCCTAAAATAAAACCAAAATATGTTCAGACTTTCGTTCTCAATCACGTCAGCGTGAGGCGACTAAAAGGTCAATAAATCAAAATATCTACAAGAAAATGTTCTTAAATGAACCCAGATAATCGTTAAATTATTTTTGAAGTGGTTAGAAGCAACTGAAAGTTAAACTGCTGCGTTTAGGTTAAGAGTTAGAATTAATTTGAAATATTTCTGCAACCATCGTCTGTGTTCTGATGAGGAAACTTTAATAATTCTGTTCTGTAAATCAAAAATTCACCCTAATGTAAAAATATTTGATTAATCCAAGGTACTCACCAGGTGCTGCTGTCTCTTTTCTGTCAAAAAGTCATTTAAATTTTTTTTATTGATTGAYTTAAAAAAAAAGTCATTTTAAAACAGCAGAAAAACAAAACAGAGTAGGCCTCTAACAACAGGTGTCCTAATTAGTAACTCGCAACAGGTGTGTGGAGTAAAGTAAACTAGCCAAAGACATTAACACAAAGGAAATTAATCAAAAACAAAACTAATAATAAAAATTATCCAGAAAAATTATTAGAAAACATAGAATCATAGAAATTACAGTGATAAACACTGGCTAACTGCTAGCTATTTTCGTAATTATATTTTTAAATTTGTTACAACAGCTTTTTAATTTGTTTTTAAAGTACAAGACCTGTCAAAGGATAAAGGCCCTTTTAATATAAAAATAAGTAAGATACTGTATCATACATAGTTAATGTAGAAACAAGCTGTGTAGTTAGCTACACAACTATCTTAGCTATCTATTTAGCTAGCTTGCTATCTATCAAGCTAGCTAACTAGCTATCTCTAATATTAGGTAGGGCTGTGTATTGCAAGAATTTGGCGATACGATACATATAACAGAGGGGTCACGATACGATATATCCCAATATATTGCGATACTGTAAGCAAGGCAATATATTGCGATATATTGCGATTTTTTTGTCCAAAAATTCTATTAAATAAAAACCTCTTACTGAAAAAAAAAAGCCAATGTTTACTTACAATGCTAATGCTACCCTTACTCTCTGGTGCTCAAGAGGTAGAGGAGCCAAACGGCTGGCTCACTGCTGCCAACTAGTGGTCAAAGGCTGAACTACAACATAAAAATTAATAGTTGGCAAGAAGGTTGACATTTTAAACCTTAGTTAAAAATCGATACAGGGCTTTAGAATATCAATACAGTATCGGGAAATGAAATATCGCGATATTTCAGTGTATCGATATTTTCTTACATCCCTAATATTAGGCCACATTATCTTAGTAGCAATCCATTTAACTAGTTTGTCATCAAGCTGCTAACTAGCTAACTAATTACATTGTTAGCTACATTTCTATTTTAGCAGCTATTATGTAGGTGGGAACTAAGTAATTATATAGTTGGCTACATTACTATCTTAGTAGCAATCATTTAACTAGTTTGTCATCAAGCTGCTAACTAGCTAACTAATTACATTGTTAGCTACATTTCTATTTTAGCAGCTATTATGTAGGTGGGAACTAAGTAATTATATAGTTGGCTACATTACTATCTTAGTAGCAATCATTTAACTAGTTTGTCATCAAGCTG